AAATATTACCGCTCCTACTACTACTGCTACTACTGCTACTACTACTGCTGCTACTACTGCTACTACTACTGCTACTACTACTGCTACTACTGCTACTACTGCTGCTACTACTGCTACTACTACTGCTACTACTGCTACTACTACTGCTACTACTGCTGCTACTACTGCTACTACTACTACTGCTACTACTACTGCTACTACTGCTGCTACTACTACTGCTACTACTGCTGCTACTACTGCTGCTACTACTGCTACTACTACTGCTACTACTGCTACTACTACTACTGCTACTACTACTGCTACTACTGCTGCTACTACTACTGCTACTACTGCTGCTACTACTGCTGCTACTACTGCTACTACTACTGCTACTACTGCTACTACTACTACTACCGCTGCTACTACTGCTGCTGCTACTACTACTAATGCTACTACTACTGCTACTATGACTACAACAGATCCTGCTTCATGTAGACCTACAGACAAGGATCGCTCCCCCCCCACCTTTTTATCCACCCACTCATTAATTCAATCACTCACCCACCCACTCACGCACCCACCCACTCACCCACCCACTCACCCACCCACTCACTCACTCACCCACTCACTCACACACTCATCGACCCACCCACCCACCCACCAACTCACCAACTCACTCACCCACTCATCGACCCACCCACTCACTCACCCACCCACTCACTCACCCACCCACTCACTCAAACACTCAACCACTCACTCACTCACCCACCCACCCACCAACCCACTCACCCACCCACTCACTCACCCACTCACTCACTCACCCACCCACTCACTCACTCACCCACCCACTCACTCACTCACCCACTCACTCACTCACCCATCCACTCACTCACCAACTCACCCACTCACCCACCCACCCACACATTCATACATTCACTCAACCACTCACAACAACAACCGCCATTATCCACTAAGTGGCGGTGACGTCACCACAACGCTTGTGCCAGGCCATGTGCACCTTGTCGAACGCCCGCTGGTAGGAGGTCACGGGACAGACCCAGCAGGTGCCACGGGTCGACTGAGATGACTGAGATGACTGGCTGATGCACCACCTGTGCCCCCTACTGTGCCAACTTGCTGCGCTTTAGCCACCCGGCGCTCTGCTCGTTGTTGTGAGCGTCGCTCCTCCGCCCTCCGTTGTTGTTGGAGGGCGACTGCCTCCAACTGCCCAGTAGCATCCTTCACGAGCCTCCTCCAGAGAGGCCGATTATGACACCGCTGATACCAGTCATTGGCAAGTCCACTCAGCTCCACGTCCACCTGTACCACATCACTCCATCTCTTCTCTAGCCCGTGCCGCGCCCATTTAGCCCCCTCGATCCAGCCCAAAAAAAGCTGTTTCGGCATGTGGTGGGTGGGCATGCGGGCTACATGACCCAGCCAACGCAGCCTTGCCTGCCGGAGGAGCTCACCGATGGGACTTTGTCCAGATCTTTCAAGGATTTGTGAACTCCTCACACAATCCATCCTGGACAAACCCAGGATGGATCGTAGGCAGGCCAGCCTAAATGTTTCTAACTGGCGAAGATGTTCCATTAGGGGGGGTCCACGTTTCGCAAGCGTAGAGAAGGGAGGGAATGACCGTGGCCAAGAAGACCTGAAGCTTAGTGCGGAGCGAGAGACCAGGTAAGCTTCCACACAGCGTTACGCAACCGATGAAAAGATATTACCGCTCGACTGATTCGGAGCGAGACCTCTGCTGTAAAACCGGAGCCGGTCATATGCACACTGCCCAGGTATGGGAAACTCTCCACTCTCTCCACAACTGCCCCATCACCGATTAGGAGTTGTGGGGGTGGAGTGTCCAATGGTGCAAAATACCTAGGCAGGTGCTTAATTTTGGTGGGGCTGATGGTAAGGCCCCACCTCTTAGTGGCAAGCTCCAGGTTCAGCAGCAGCGTCTCCAACTCCTCCAATTACCAGATCATCGGCATACATAACGTGGTTGAGCAATAGGGAGCCATCCCTTGACAGCACCCGGGCATCGATCAGCCTCCCATTGTATCTGTACCGGATGGAAATTCCTCCGTTACAGCTACTGAAGACTTCACAAACTACGTGGTCAAACTAGATGTTAAATAATGTTGGAGCCAGAGGACATCCCTGTCGCACCCCAAGGTGTACAGGGAATGGCTCCGACTCCCGGCCACGTAGTTTTACCCGGGCCCGCTCACCATCATGAAGGTCCTTAATGATCGTGAGCAGAGGGTCAGGGACTCCAAAAGCACGAAGAACAACCCAGAGCCCAGGCCTACTGATGGTATCATAGGCCTTGACCAGGTCAATAAAGCAGAGATGTAGGTCTTGCTGGAATTCCCTACACCTCTGCTGTAGCAGACGGACAGAAAATATGGCATCTGTGCAGGACCGCCCTTTCCTGAAACCGCCTTGGGGCTCCGCAAGCCTCTCCTCAGCGTGCCTGGCAAGGCGATGCTGAATAATCCTTGCCAGGACCTTTCCCGGCACACTCATACATTAATTCACCCACCCGTCCACTCATTCATTCGCTCACACGCTGGTCCACTCACACGCTCATGAATCCATTCACCCGCACACTCATTCGCCCATCCACACATCCGCTCGCCCACCCACTCACCCACTCACTCACTCACCCACCCAGCTACCCACCCACCCACTCACCCACTCACCTCCCCACCCACTCGCCCACACACTCACCCAATCGCCCACACACTCACCCATCATTCCACCTCTTCTCCAGCCCATGCCGTGGCCCGTCTAGAGCAGTTCACGCGTTGATGGGATCACGTGCTCATGCTCCATCACGTGTGTTAAGTACATTGCACGGTGCATATTGAACTGAGCCTTGACTTGAACATCTTTCTTTTACCACGAATCAAATCGCAATCGAAATATCTGTCAGGAGGGGGAAAAAAAAAAAATCGCAATGAGATACTTTCCCCAAATCGTTGCGTGCCGTTTATAGTGGCGACCTGTTTCCCGCACCCAACGTTGCCCCGACGTTGCCCCGACGTTGCCCCCGACGTTGCCCCCGACGTTGCCCCCGACCGACAGCGATTCTGCGGTTCCTCTAGCTGGGGGACCACCCTCACCCACACCCACCACAAAGACAAAGATCCCCCGTGTAGCCTTAACGGACTGTAGGGGCAAGTGCTGTTGGCGAGCGGCACCTGTGAAGGCCGACACTGTGGCACACGAGGGGGTGGGTGGCCAGCACCACGCCCGGCCGCCTTTGTCTCTCCCCAGGTGACTCATTTGAGGCCGAGTCGACCTAGGGGAGTCGCAGGACCCGGTTCAGATGTTCGTCACCGGTGGCGTTGGCCGTGAGCGGGAATCGAACTCGGGTCGCTGGGTTCGTAGTTGCGCTAACCGCTACTACACTACACTATACACTACTACACTATACACTACTACACTATACACTACTACACTATACACTACACTATACACTACTACACTATACACTACTACACTACACTATACACTACCGCTACAAACAAACCACACCCACCACACACTCCCCACCACACCCCACCAAACCCAACTACACCCTACCACCACCCATCCCACACCCACCACACCCACCACACACACCACACACACCACACACACACCACACTACACACCACACACACACCACACTACACAACACACACACCACACTACACACCACACTACACACAACACACACACCACACTACACAACACACACACCACACTACACACCACACTACACACAACACACACACCACACTACACCACACACACCATACACACACCACACACCACACGCACACTACACCACACACACCACACACACACCACACGACACACACACCACACTACACCACACACACCACACTACACCACACACACCACACTACACACCACACTACACACACACACTACACCACACTACACCACACACACCATACACACTACACCACACACACACTACACCACACACACACTACACCACACACACACTACACCACACACACACTACACCACACACATCATACACACACCACACTACACCACACACACCACACTACACCACACACACACTACACCACACACACACCACACCACACCACACTACACACACACCACACTACACACTACACCACACTACACCACACTACACCACACACACCACACTACACCACACACACCACACATCACACACACACTACACCACACACACCACACACTACACCACACACACCACACACACACACCACACTACACCACACACACCACACATCACACACACACTACACCACACACACCACACACTACACCACACACACCACACACACCACACACACCACACACACACACACCACACACACACCACACACACCACACTACACCACACACACACTACACCACACACACACCACACCACACCACACTACACACACACCACACTACACACTACACCACACTACACCACACTACACCACACACACCACACTACACCACACACCACACACACCACACACACACTACACCACACACACTACACCACACACACTACACCACACACACACTACACCACACACACACTACACCACACACACACTACACCACACACACCACACTACACCACACACACCACACTACACCACACCACACTACACCACACTACACCACACACCCGACCACTTAACCGTCGCTCGCTCCATACACCTCCAATCCGCCGCCGGCAAACGCTGCCCCCTCCTCCCCCCTCCCCCTCCTCCCCATCCTCCTCCTCCTCCTCCCCCTCCTCCCCCCTCCTCCCCCTCCTCCCCCTCCTCCCCATCCTCCCTTGCCTCCCCATCCTCCCCATCCTCCTCCTCCCCCTCCCCATCCTCCCCTGCCTCCACTGCCTCCTCCCCCGCCTCCTCCTCCGCATCCAACCCCTGCTCCCCATCCTCCCCCGCCTCCTCCTCCTCCTGCTCCCCCGCCTCCACCCCCGCCTCCCCCTCCCCCCCCGCCTCCGCCTCCGCGCAGCGCCTCGCCGCGAGGCCGCTGGCCAGCGCGTGCCGCTTGACGTGCTTCTTGAGGTCCGAGGCCTGCCGGAAGGCGCGGCCGCACTCGCCGCAGGGGTGCGGCCGCGCCTCCGAGTGGATCATCACGTGCGTCTTGAGGTTGCACGACAGCGAGAAGGCCTTGCCGCAGACGGGGCACCGGTGGGGCTTCTCGCCCGTGTGCGTGCGCAGGTGCGTCTTGAGGCTCGTCGGGTAGTTGAAGATCTTCCCGCACAGCGGGCAGCCGTAGGGCTTCTCGCCCGTGTGCGTGCGCATGTGGATCCTGAGGCTGGTCGCGCAGGCGTACGTCTTGTCGCACGCCGAGCACACGTACGGACGCTCGCCCGAGTGCGTGCGCATGTGCGACTTGAGGTTCGAGGCGCCGGCGAAGGCCTTGCCGCAGACGGAGCATTCGTGGCGGGCCTCTCCGGCTGCGGCGGCCGCGGCACCGCAGTCGCCGTGCGTCTCGGCGTGCCGCCGGAGCTCCGATGCCGTCGCGAACGCCTCGCCGCACGCGGCGCACGGCCGCGGCCTCCGCTCGCCGCCTCCTCCACCGCCTCCGCCGCCTCCGCCGCCTCCACCGCCTCCGCCGCCTCCTCCGCCGCCTCCGTGGCTCTTGAGGTGCCGCTTGAGCTTGGAGGAGCAGGCGAAGGCCTTGCCGCAGGCGGCGCACCCGTACGGCCGTTCGCCCGTGTGCGCCCGCCCGTGCTCCTTGAGCTTGGAGGCGCTGGCGTAGGCCTTGTCGCAGAGGGCGCACTTGTGCGGCCGTTCGCCCGTGTGCGCCATCGTGTGCATGCGCAGGCTCACGAGCTGGATGAAGGCCTTGCCGCAGAGGGCGCAGCGGTGCGGCCGCTCTCCCGTGTGCGTCCTGGAGTGCACCTTGAGGTTCGACGAGCAGGCGTAGGTCTTGCCGCACTCGTCGCAACGGTGGGGCCTAGCGGCGCCGGCGGCCGCGGCGCCGGTGGCCCGGCGGGGCCGCGGCGGCTGTCCGGGGATGGCGGGGCGGCGGCCTGGGCGGCGGCGAGGGCCGGAGCCGTCGGCATTGTCGGCGTTGTCGTTGTTGTTGTTGTTGTCGTGAGTCCGCTGGTGCTTGCGCATGTTGCCCTTGTACTCGGACTTGTAGGGGCAGCGCTCGCACTGGTGGACCTTGCGGCGGGCCGGCCGCGAGTGCAGCTGCATGTGCACACGCAGGCCGTGGCTCTTGGGGAAGTCGCGGCCGCACACGGGGCAAGCGTGGCGCTCCGCGGGGGCGGCGGAGGGGGAGGGGGAGAGGGAGGAGGGGGGTGAGGGGTGGGCTGAGGCGGCGATGACGGCTGAGCGACGGAGTCGCGGGGGAGAGGAGAGGGGAGGGGAGGGGAGGGAGGAGGGGAGGGAGGGAGGGAGGGAGGGAGACAGGGAGGGAGGGAGGGAGACAGGGAAGGAGGGAGGAGGGAGGGAGGGAGGAGGGAGGGAGGGAGGGAGGGAGGGAGGGAGGGAGGGAGGGAGGGAGGGAGGGAGGGAGGAGGGAGGGAGGGAGGGACAGGGAGGGAGAGATTCTCAATCACAAAGTGCGTGAGACGTTCATGACAATCAGCTCTGTCCGCGAGTCCATCTCTCTGCCCAATCGGCCTACCTCTGTCTGTGTGTCTGTGTGTGTCTCTGTGTGTCTGTGTGTTTGTGTCTGTGTGTGTCTGTCTGTGCGTGTCTGTGTGTGTCTGTCTGTGTGTGTCTGTGTGTGTGTGTGTCTGTCTGTGTGTAGTCCGGCAAAACAACCCCCTACCTCCGCGCGGTGCCGGACGGGCAACTCTGTCGTGGACAGTGCTGTGGGGGGAGGCCCAATTCCGATTGGCCCTCTCCCCTCATGGCGTCTGCGACCACCACAGGGGCTAAACGGGGGCTCTGGACGGGTGCGAGGGGCTGGTAAACCCCTCCACCTTTGTTGTATAAGGCCCTTTTTCCATCATTAACCACGATAAAATATTTGCCGATACACATATAATTTTTTTCCTTTCGAAATAATGAATGAAAACGGCAAGCACAAGCAACCAGCACGTGGAGGATCATGGAAGGGCCGTAGAATTGAAATTAAAAATAATAGGCTCACGGGAAGGCTGGGAATGCGTAGATAACGCTCCCTCACCGCGGCTGGATGGATAACACACCACACGTGCAAGCAGAGAGGAAATTCCTTGCTGACGAAGGCGTCCGCAGACCTCGGCAAACAAATCAAGTCGGGTGGACATCACAAGGCGTGGTCACGCGGGAACACCGACGCTAACACTATTCACCCTTAAAATGTGCGACGCCCTTGCCCGTTGCCCGACCCCACAGACACCAAGGAGTGCCAATCGCGACCTTGTTGAACGTGAAGCCAGCAACATCCGAGTGGCGGTAAACCGAGGGCAACGGGGGAGAGGGAGAGACGGCTTCGTCTTCCCGCAACACAGACAGAGAGGCGCCCTTGAGACGGTTCGCAACATCTCTTGTTTTTTTGTTTTTGTGAAAGAGGCGGCAACTGAAACCATGCCGTAAATGACGCACACAAGGACACGCACACGGACGCACGGACGGACGGACAATTACGGACACACACCCCAGACCACGACACACAGCAAAAATCAAAACAAGCTCCGCCTTGTGTGGGGAGGAGGAGCCAAGGGATAAGGGATTTCGGCATCAAATACGACACTACAGCATTGAAAATCAGGAGAGCGGTGGCGCGCCACCAGCTCATCAATCATCGGACCCAGCTCAGGAGGACCAACTCAACTCAACTGCTCCGTGAGAAAGAAAATCAACCGCCGTCGACGCGGAAGAGGTTTCTGCAGCTTCGCCGGGGCGGCGAGCTTCGCCGGGGCGGCGAAGCTTCGCCGGGGCGGCGAGCTTCGCCGGGGCGGCGAAGCTTCGCCGGGGCGGCGAAGCTTCGCCGGGGCGGCGAAGCTTCGCCGGGGCGGCGAAGCTTCGCCGGGGCGGCGAGCTTCGCCGGGGCGGCGAAGCTTCGCCGGGGCGGCGAAGCTTCGCCGGGGCGGCGAAGCTTCGCCGGGGCGGCGAGCTTCGCCGGCCGCTCGGCCGCAGGGGGGGTCGCACCGTCGCAACGGGCGCACCGCCGGCGCCCGACAGAGCAGCCGGCGGTCAAACACTCGGCGACCCGCCCGCGCCCGACTCGGCTCGAGCCGAGCCGAGTCGGCCCGAGCCGAGCCGAGCCGAGCCGGCCACGGTGGGCCGAAGGGAAATCGACCCGACACGGATGGCGCGCGCAACTGGCCCCCCACCCACACGGCAAACCGAGGCGTCTGCTTGACGGAAAGAATCAATCAAGTCCGAGCAGTGACCGTTCAACGCAATGTATCGATGCCTCCAAACATACACACACGGGTCGCGAACCAAAGGGCCCGATTGCTCACGTCCGTGAACCAAATCGGTCTGCCGCGAAGGAATCGCGGCAGGCCGAGCGGACACTCCGTCGTTCACAAGTACATTCGGAATTTTCCACCCTTAATGTTTTGGGTTTTTTTTTGGGGCTGTACTTCTAATCGTGTAAATTCCCAACCGATCCATCGATACGAATTCACCCTTGACACCTTCGCCACGGACCTACGCTCACGTGGGAGGGGAGGGAGGGGGGACAGCGTAGCCAACCGGCTTCCCCATCAGGCGATCTGGTCCACAATTAATTAAACGTTGGCCCAAAAGATGAGGATATCAGGGGAGAGCGTGCACACCCCACAGCACACCCTCACCCCGAGCCACTTCCGCAATCGCATAACCTGTCCGATGGATCTGTTGATACACTTGTGCCTTTGGGAATGACGACTGTCTTGATCGCCCTCTTCGCGCGAATATTGTCGTGCGATCTTTACGCCCCTTTCGCTACTGATGGCCGCCGCACGTACTCACGTACTCCACAGGACACTCAACCGTTCCGCGACCCAATGTGCTAGCGACGTGATGATGCGGGTTGCTCTCATGGATCCATGAACGGACGCGGTACCGCGCGTGGAAATTCCGGTATGATCGTTCGTAATGAGAGTCGGTTTTTTTTGTTTTGTTTAGATGTTTTAACGACTCTCTCTCTCTCTATCACCATACTCTTTTGGTTCTATTCGGTGAAGTCACAAGGCCGCTGTTTTATTTTTCGATTTAAAGCTTTCGTGACTGCAATGATTCATCTTCTTTGGTTCTTTCGGTAAAGTCACCACCACGTAGAATGAGAATAAAATAATAAATTGATAAAATAACAATAACACAATATTCTCACGACGTTTCGGCCGCGACACAAGCGCCCTTCATCAGGTGAAGGGGGCGAGACTGTCTGGTAGGACAGCGCTGGAGTGAAAGAGCCACGTTCAGATCACGGCTTTTAAGCCTCAACTTTAGCACTTAAACGTGGCTCTCTCACTCCAGCGCTGTCCTACCAGACAGTCTTGTCCCTTCACCTGATGAAGGCCGCTTGTGTCGCGGCCGAAACGTCGTGAGAATATTATTATTGTGTTATTGTTATTTTATCAATTTATTATTTTATTCTCATTCTACGTGGTGGTGACTTTACCAAAAGAACCAAAGAAGAAGTTTTATTTTTGTTACCTACGTGACTTTGCCGAACAGAAGCCAAAGAGTGTGGATCCTTGCAGTCACGGACGCTTCAAATCTCCGTCGCCGACCGCTCGCGTTGCGTGGGGAATGAGTCAAAGTGCTGCCGTCAAAGTGAAAAAATCGCAGTCGTGACGATGCCGCGTTGACACTGCGTTGGAATTCCCCGAGCCGAGGAGTTGCATCTTTTGAGAGTTAAAGCTTAGTCAGAAGCAAAATTGGTGAACGCAGAAGTGTTGTGCGTTTCTTTCCTGAATCACGCATGAGGACGGAATTTCCCGCGCTGAGATCTGAACTTGGCGACCGTGCATAAACACGCTCGTCCATACTCGACAGATGTCAAGGCGACAATAATTGCGTCGCACCGATCGCTAATGCGAAGTTAAACGGCGAAGCCGAAGTTTAATCTGGCATGCTCGCAGCAACCGCGTGACGGACATACGATAATAATAATTATTGCATTATCCCGACTGATAACCGGAACCCTCGTCAACGGGGCGGTTCCTGGTTATCACAAAGGCTGTAAATTAACACAACCACACCCACTCGTGTAAATTAATACGACGAGCTCTCTTTTCATCGGTTGCGTAGCGCTGCGCGGAAGCTACCCGGTCTGTCGCTCCGCGCTAAGCTCTGGGCCTTCTCGGCCACGGTCGTTCCCCTCCCCTTCTTCCACGCCTTACGGAAAACGTGGACCCCTCCCTTAATGGAGCGCCTTCGCCGGTTAGAAACATTGAGGCCGGCATGCCTGCTACGTCGATGGCCACGGGGTCCTGGGTGTACACCCACCACCGGAGCGGAGCGGAAGAACGGCAGGCGCATCTTACAGATGGCCAGCCGATGGCCAGAGGGCAGATCAGCTCCACGGTAGGTCCTGGGTGTCAAGGGCATGGGCCCGCATCCGCTGGTCCAGTCACTAACGCAGTCCAGCAGACGTTCTTGGCTTGGAGCCGGCGTGCATCCGCGATGTTGTGTGGATCCGCCCCCTACTGGGCGTCCGTGCATCAAGCGCCTCGGAGCCGACCGGATTCCACCTCCGACAGCGTCGACAAATCAACAGTCGGGACCCTCCCCCCACCCACCCACCCACCCCCCACTCACCCCCACCCCCCTCACCGTCATCCTCCAGCGCCACCTCGACCTCTGCGACGTCGCACGAGGCCGCCCGGCGCTGCCGAAGGCTGGCAACCACCGCCCGCAGCTCCCCTCCTCGCCCACCTCGTCGCCCACCTCCTCCTCCTCTTCCGCCTCCTCCTCCTCTTCCGCCTCCTCCGCCTCTTCCTCCTCCTCCTCGGCCCCCCACAGGGGCCCTGAGGTCTCCCGCTCGGACGCGGAGGTCCACTCCCTGAGCTGGGATTTATACAAACACACAGACACACACACATACATATACACACACACATACATATACACACATACATATATATACACACACATACACACACACACATATATATACACACACATACATATACACACATACATACACATACATACATACACACACACATACACACACACATACATACACATACATACACATACATACACACATACATACACATACATACACACACACACATACACATACATACACACACACAGACACACACATATATACACACATACACACACATACACACACACACATATATACACACATACACAGACACACACATACATACACACATATACACACATACACACATTTACACACACACACATACACACATACACACACACACATACACACACACATACACACACACATATACACACACATACATACATTTACACACACACACATATACACACAATTACACACACACAGACACACACATATATACACACATACACACACATACACACATACACACACACATACATACACATACATACACACACATACATACACACATACACACACATACAAAGACAAAGATCCCCCATGTAGCCTTAACAGACTGTTGGGGCAAGTGCTGTTAGCGAGCACCTTTGAAGGCCGGAACAGTACACGAGGGGGTGGGTGGCCAGCACCACGCCCGACCGCCTTTGTCTCCCCAGTGGCGATGTTTATACACCGCACCAGGTACTCATTTGCGGCTGAGTCGACCTAGGGGAGGCCCGGGACCGGTTCAGATAATCGTCACTGGTATTGGCCGTGAGCGGGAATCGAACCCGGGTCGCACACACACATACATACACCTGTACATACATACACACACATACACACACACATACACACACACACATACACACACATATACACACACACACATACAACAACAACCGCCATTCGCCACTAAGTGGCGGTGACGTCACCACGACGCTTGTGCCAGGCCATGTGCACCTTGAGGCCACGTGAAGTGTCGAATGCCCGCTGGCAGGAGGTCACGGGGCAGACCCAGGTGCCACGGGTCGACTGACTGAGATGACTGGCTGATGCACCACCTGTGCCCCCTACTGTGCCAACCTGCTGTGCCATAGCCACCCGGCGCTCCGCTCGTTGTTGTGAGCGTCGCTCCTCCGCCCTCCGTTGTTGTTGGAGGGCGACTGCCTCCAACTGCCCAGTAGCGTCCTTCATGAGCCTCCTCCACAGAGGGCGATCTTGACACCGCTGGTACCAGTCATCGGCAAGTCCACTCAGCTCCACGTCCTCCTGAACCACATCACTCCATCTCTTCTCTAGCCCGTGCCGCGCCCGTTTAGCCCCCTCGATCTGGCCGAACAAAAGCTGTTTCGGCATGCGGTGGCTGGGCATGCAGGCTACATGACGGAGCCATCGCAGCCTTGCCTGCCGGAGGAGCTCACCGATGGGACCTTGCCCAGATCTTTCAAGGATTTGTGAGCTCCTCACACAATCCAGCCTGGTTAAACCCAGGATCAAAATAGATGTTAAATAATGTGGGAGCCAGAGGACATCCCTGTCACACCCCAAGGTGTACAGGGAATGGCTTTGACTCCCGGCCACGTAGTTTTACCCGGGCCCGCTCACCATCATGAAGGTCCTTAATGATCGTGAGCAGAGGGTCAGGGACTCCAAAAGCACGAAGAACAACCCAGAGCCCAAGCCTACTGATGGAATCATAGGCCTTGACCAGGTCAATAAAGCACAGATGTAGGACTTTATGGAATTCGCTACACCTCTGCTAAATATGACATCTGTGCAGGACCGCACTTTCCTGAAACCGCATTGGGGCTCCGCAAGCCTCTCCTCAGCGTGCCTAGCAAGGCGATGTTGAATAATCCTTGCCAGGACCTTTCCCGGCACACTGAGGAGTGAGATGCCCCTGTAGTTGTTACAGTCTGTGCGGTCCCCCCTTCTTAAAGAGGGGGACCACCAGGGCATCCTTCCAATCCTGCGGAAGCCGTCCAGTGGTCCAGACTGTTGTTATGATGTCATGTAAGGTAGTCTGTGCACATACGCCACCCTCCCTCAGCATTTTGCTTGGGAGATCATCTCTGCCCGCTGCCTTTCCTGGTCTCAGACTCCAGATCGCCTTCAGTACTTCCTCAACAGATGGCACCTCAGCCAGCCACTCACACGGGGTGGCTTCTTCCAATATTTGAGGCACCGTAGCCTCAGCAGGGTCATCCCCACTTTGTGCCATGATGATTTCCTGGCTGAGGGGTTTCCCCTCCCCCAGGACCTCACAGAAATGCTCAACAAATTTGCAAACCTGTTCCTGGGGGTCGGAGATTGGAACACCATTTTTTTCCCCTAATGATGGTAATAGGTGTGCCGCTGCAGGTTACTTTTTGACGGAGTTAAATAGAGATCTGTGATCACGGGCCACTGAGGCAGACTCCATCTCCTCAGCAACCCGCGACCACCACCCATCCTTGCAGCGCCTCACGGCTCTCCGAACCTCCGAGCGAAGGCTGCGGTAAGCCTCCTCATTCTCTGACGTGGGATTCTGTAGCCGATGACAGTGGGCCTGTCGCTTTTTCTCAACTATCCTGAACACCTCCTATGTCAGCCAGGGTCTCTGGGGAGGTCTGGACCGCGTACCCAAAGCGGCAACTGCAGCTGCATGAGTCAGTCCTAAACCTCGCCCATTTACCCTCGACATCAGGAGGAGTGGGGGGCGATGCCAACCCCAGCCGCAAGCGATGATGAAATTCTTGCTTGCAACTTTCATCAGCTGAGACCAGGCCACTTTAGGTTGGAATGGGGTCCTGGGTGTACACCCACCACCGGAGTGGAAGAATGGCAGGCGCATCTTACAGATGACTAGTCGATGGTCAGAGGGCAGATCAGCTCCACGGTAGGTCCTGTTGTCAAGGACATGGGCCCGCATCCGCTGGTCCGTCACTATGTAGTCCAGCAGATGTTCTTGCTTGGACCCGGCATGCATCCATGATGTTGTGTGGATGCGCCGATGCCGGAACAGCGTGTTGGTAATTACAAGCCCATGGGCTGCACAGAAATCTAGCAGCCTCCTACCGTTGTTATTGAGCTGATCTGGCCCATGCCCTCCAATCACTTCAAACCAGAGGTTTGCATCGTCACCAACTCGGGCATTGAAGTCACCAACAAGATGACTCTATCCCGAGGGGCCACTTTAGCCAGCACCTGTGACAGGAGGTCATAGAAGGCATCTGACTCATCGGCCTTGCCTGCATCCCTCCACGGATGTTTGTCTTCGGTGGGGGCATAAGTAACCACGACCACCACTCCTCGCCTCCGGTTGACGGGAAGGCGAGCCCAAAGTAGCCTGGGGCTTAAAGCTTCCCACACCTCACCGCCACGCTCCCACGCCCCCTTCATTATCTTGTTCAGAAGAAGAGACACACCCTGCTGTTTGGCAGTCTCCTGCCTCGAGTAGAGGACTGTCCCACCCCTCACGGTGGCAGGAGCCAGAACCGGTCCACCGGACCCTCCCGAATACCGCGGAGATCCAGGCGGTACCGGTCCAGCTCCCGACGGAGGAGCGGGTAGCCTCTCCTCCCGCAGCGAGCGTTCGGTAAATAGCCACCCGCAGTGGCTATTTACCGAACGGTGCGGGGTCCTTCGTCACGAGCTCCGTTTCATTTGGTTTTGCGGAAAATTTAATTGAAGGTGGAGGGGTTACCGGCCCCCGGGCACTCGTCCAGGGCCCCCCCCCCCCGCCGTTTGCCGCTGTGATCGCTACGAGCGCCATGCTGGGAACATCCGATGGGAATCGACCTTCCACCCCCACCCCGCATAGCCACCACAGCGTTAACGTCCGGTAACTACCACCACCACCATCACAGACACCACAGCGTTACCGTCCGATAACTACCACCACCACCACCGTCACAGACGCCACAACGTTACCGTACGATAACTACCAACACCACCGTCACAGACGCCACAACGTTACCGTACGGTAACTACCACCACCACCGTCACAGACGCCACAACGTTACCGTCCGATAACTACCACCACCACCGTCACAGACACCACAACGTTACCGTACAGTAACTACCACCACCACCATCACAGACACCACAACGTTACCGTACAGTAACTACCACCACCACCGTCACAGACACCACAACGTTACCGTACAGTAACTACCACCACCACCGTCACAGACGCCACAACGTTACTGTACAGTAACTACCACCACCACCGTCACAGACACCACAGCGTTAACGTACGGTAACTACCACCACCACCGTCACAGACACCACAACGTTACCGTACGGTAACTACCACCACCACCGTCACAGACGCCACAACGTTACCGTACGGTAACTACCACCACCACCATCACAGACACCACAGCGTTACCGTCCGATAACTACCACCACCACCGTCACAGACGCCACAACGTTACCGTACGGTAACTACCAACACCACCATCACAGACGCCACAACGTTACCGTACGGTAACCACCGCCACCGGCACAGACACCACAACGTTACCGTACGGTAACCACCCCCACCCCGCATAGCCACCACAGCGTTAACGTCCGGTAACTACCACCACCGTCACAGACACCACAACGTTACTGTACAGTAACCACCACCACCGTCACAGACACCACAACGTTACCGTACAGTAACCACCACCACCGTCACAGACGCCACAACGTTACCGTACGATAACTACCACCACCACCGTCACAGACACCACAACGTTACCGTCCGGTAACCACCACCACCACCATCACCGCCACCACCATCACCACCACCATCATCACCACCACTGTTACCACCACCATCACCACCACCACAATGGCCACCATCACCACCACCACCACCATCACCACCACCATCAACAGGACAATGATCACTATCACCACCACCATCAACACCACCACCCCCATCACCACCACCATCACCACAACCATCACCATCACCACCACCATCACCACCATCTCCACTACCACCACCACTACCACCATCACCACCACCAAAGGCAAGGGACAGGTTTGTAAATGGAGGAATATGCGCAGAGTCAAACTCACCATCATCACCCCCATCACCATCATCATCACCTCCATCACCATCCTCATATTTAAGCCGACTCCTCTGCCAGATCTCATAGGCCAGATCATCCTCTTGTTTGATGTGCGATGATCCTGCATGCGTGCACACAGAGAGACACGGACATAGAGATGGAGAGAGATGGGGAGAGATGGAGAGAGATGGAGAGAGATGAAGAGAGATGGAGAGAGATGGAGAGATATGGAGAGGGATGGAGAGAGATCGAGAGAGATGGAGGAGAGAGATGGAGGAGAGAGATGGAGGAGAGAGATGGAGGAGAGAGATGGAGGAGAGAGATGGACAGATGGAGAGAGATGGAGAGAGATGGAGAGAGAGATGGAGTGAGAGAGATGGAGAGAGAGAGAGATGGAGGGGGATGGAGAGAGAGAGATGGAGAGAGAGAGAGATGGAGAGAGAGAGATGGAGAGAGAGAGATGGAAAGAGAGAGAGAGATGGAGAGAGAGAGATGGAGAGAGAGAGAGATGGAGAGAGAGAGAGATGGAGAGAGAGATGGAGAGAGAGATGGAGAGAGATGGCGAGAGATGGAGGGAGATGGAGGGAGATGGAGGGAGAGAGATGGAGAGAGATGGAGAGAGTTTGAGAGAGATGGAGAGATGGAGGGAGAGAGATGGAGAGAGATGGAGAGAGATGGAGAGAGATGGAGAGAGTTTGAGAGAGATAGAGAGAGATGGGGAGAGAGAGAGATGGAGGGAGAGAGATGGAGAGAGTTTGAGAGAGATGGAGAGAGATGGGGAGAGAGAGAGAGATGGAGGGCGAGAGATGGAGGGAGAGAGATGGGGAGAGTTTGAGAGAGATGGAGAGATGGAGGGAGAGATGGAGGGAGAGAGATGGAGAGAGATGGAGAGAGATGGAGAGAGTTTGAGAGAGATAGAGAGAGATGGGGAGAGAGAGATGGAGGGAGAGAGATGGAGAGAGATGGGAAGAGAGAGAGATGGAGGGAGAGATGGAGATGGAGGGAGAGAGATGGAGAGAGTTTGAGACAGATGGAGAGAGATGGAGGCAGACAGACGGAGACTTTTGACTTTCAAACAACTTTCATCGCCGCCAGCAGCGACAGCACTGGATGCGATTTCGAAATGAAACGCACAAAGCCACCAGCGACACAAATGCAAACAAACGCTGAAAAAAATTCCACGCGGTGACAAGCCGAGCGCTTCAGAAGGCGAGCACGATGGACGCCGTCCACGGCCGGTACAGAGAGATGGCGGGGGCTCGTCCGGCACTCGGCGTGCTCCAAGCCGGAGCCGCGCCTTCAGCAGGCCCCCAGTCTCCGTTCTGTACACCGCCAACTTCCCCGCCGTTGTAGAAGGGCACCCCCAGTTTCCTGAAGCTTATTTCCCGCCCCGCCCCGCCCCACCTTCACTGCCGGTCCAGTACGTCATTGTTATGCCAATTCCTTTGTCAAGGCGTTTT